TAACAAACATTCCCTCTCCGCGCTGGGTAATGAGTGGGAACAGTGACCTCAGGATCCAGGCTCTAGGCTCTCACAGCTAGCTCTGGTGCGGACTTACTGCAATACAGTAAACACGCGCACACACACACACATACACTCTCACGCATCTACACACACACAGGCCTCTAGTCCATGAGGCAATATCAGACCAGGCCTCTAGTCCATGAGGCAATATCAGACCAGGCCTCTAGTCCATGAGGCAATATCAGACCAGGCCTCTAGTCCAGCTAATCAGGCAGAACCTCAGTGCCAAAGTATGCTACTACAAATCAACCCTCCTTACTTAGAACTCCTAAAGCTGATCCATTGAAGAAGAACCATGTTCAACATTCAGCTCTCACAGGGCCTTCAGCTCTCACAGGGCCTTCAGCTCTCACAGGGCCTTCAGCTCTCACAGGGCCTTCAGCTCTCACAGGGCCTTCAGCTCTCACAGGGCCTTCAGCTCACACAAGGTCTTCTAAAAATAACTGACTTATCCATAGAGACTGAGTAGAGTGGAGACAGACAGACAAGAGGGTAACTAACGGACAGAAAACAGACCTTGTGTATTTAAATTCAGTATGACAAAGATCCCAGTAACACAAGACAGAACCAAGCAAATCCCAACAGTATGGGAACCATCACTTCCTGCCAGTAAACAAGGAAACTTCCTTGCCAGTAACTTAGATGTGTAACCATGACGACTGCAACAACCACTTAACCCTGATGTGTTTGCTCTGGTTGTGAGGTGTCTGTTTACACTAAGTTAAGATGGAGGCGGCAAACATCTGCTTCACACAGACCAAACAAGGACACAAAGGGAAGACAGACCAGGAAGAAAGAGACAGAGCTGTCAGTCATTTATGCACTTTCAGACTACTGAGCTGAGCCAATCTGAGTAGATCTGTACTGCACTGGCCTGGTTGTACATCTACCGCATTTTTTTATACTGAAAATAAGAATATGAAAAGAAAATAGAACAGTATGTTTTGGGTCAGCATAACAGTGTGAAAATGGTATGACACTACTGGCATTGTTTACAACAAGCTGTCTCCCACAAACACCAGGGCAGCAACACGCCTCTCCACGCAACACTCTTCTGGAGCTAAACCAGACTTCTCCTCCACGGAGCCTTCGCGTGCCTCCGTACCTGCCACAGCAGCTGCACTGTGCTTCTGCACACATTCCCCCAAACGGAACCACGCCACAGCAGAGTATCTGGGTCCCCAAGCTGCTCTCATAAACAAACAATTACGCACGCAGTGCCGTTTAAAAGCAAACCACCAAATCAAGCCTAATTAATTGCAAAATCCAACTTCATAAATATCAGGGGTAATTTAGTGAAATTGGATCTGAGGAATTTTTTCAAATGCCTCTCGTGTTCCCAACAGACTAAAAATGGCACATATTTACTTTTAACAGCAAACAGAAACAAAAGCAGTGCTTTTGTGTGGGTTTCTTTGAGGGGATTTATTGAGATAGAAAATTAAGACCCAGCTTCTATAACACAGTGGGAGGTAGTTTATCACAGGCTAACACAAAAAGGGCAGGAATAACAGATGTTTAAAAAAGGTTTCTCAATGGTTGTCCCAGTTTGGTAGGGACCCACTACTGCGATGCGGGTGGAGAATGTGCTACGATATAAACGTAATATCTTTATCTAGACTAGAAGGTCACAAGAAAATAGCAGTTGAACGTGAAAAATGTGTTATGTATAGCTTGTGTGTTATGTAGGTACCATTCAAATAAAGTGTTATTGAAAACTCAAACTGCTTTACGTGGGTTAGCAAGGCACATTTTTTGTTGTTGTGAAAACCTTAACTAGCTAGAACACTGATATCCTCTGTTCTGTGTCAAATCGGAGGGCCTGTTGTCTGGACCTCTGGCAGTCTCTATGGGGGTGCCACAGGGTTCAATTCTCGGGCCGAATCTATTCTCTGTGTATATCAATGATGTCGCTCTTGCTGCTGGTGACGCTCGGATCCACCTCTATGCGGACGACACCATTTTGTATACATCTGGCCCTTCATTGGACACTGTGTTAACAAACCTACAAACGAGCTTCAACACCATACAACACTCCTTCCGTAGCCTCCAACTGCTCTTAAACACTAGTAAAACTAAATGCATGCTCTTCAATCAAACGCTGCTTGCACCCGCCCGCCCGACTAGAATCACTACTCTCGGCGGGTCTGACCTAGAGTATGTGGACAACTACAAATACATTGGTGTCTGGTTAGACTGTAAACTCTCCTTCCAGACTCACATTAAGCATCTCCAATCCAAAGTTAGATCTAGAATCGGCTTCCTATTTCGCAACAAAGCCTCCTTCACTCATGCTGCCAAACATGCCCTCGTAAAACTGACTATCCTACCGATCCTTGACTTCGGCGATGTCATTTACAAAATAGCCTCCAACACTCTACTCAGCAAATTGGATGTAGTCTATCACAGTGCCATCCGTTTTGTCACCAAAGCCCCATATACTACCCACCATTGTGACCTGTACACTCTTGTTGGCTGGCCCTCACTACATATTTGTCGCCAAACCCACTGGCTCCAGGTCATCTATAAATCACTGCTAGGCAAATCCCCGTCTTATCTTAGCTCACTGGTCACCATAGCAACACCCACCCGTAGTCTGCGCTCCAGCAGGTATATCTCACTGGTCATCCCCAAAGCCAACACCTCCTTTGGCCGCCATTCCTTCCAGTTCTCTGCTGCCAATGACTGGAACGAACTGCAAAAATCTCTGAAGCTGGAGACTCTTATCTCCCTCACTAACTTTAAGCATCAGTTGTCAGAGCAGCTTACCGATCACTGCACCTGTACACAGCCCATCTGTAATTAGCCCACCCAACTACCTCATCCCCATATTGTTATTTATTTTGCTAATTTGCACCCCAGTATCTCTATTTGCACATCATCTCTTGCACATCTATCATTCCAGTGTTAATACGAAATTGTAACTGTTTTGCACTATGGCCAATTTATTGCCTTACCTTCATAACTTACTACATTCGCGCACACTGTATATATATTTTGTTGTATTTTTGACTTAAATAAAAGGGCATAAAATATAATTTGAACTTCCAAACCAACACTCTCAGCAGCATGCAGTGTAGTACAAACATTACCAACCAGTCTCTACGTTCTCCATCTAACCCACAATGCCCCTTGCTGAACTGTGGAGGGCACATTCTGGTTGTTGGGCAACTTCTCTCAGCTTTATTTTACTTCTTTGTTTCCCTTCAGAAATAGGCCTAGCACTTCACATCTTAAGCCAGTAGACAACCCTTGGACTTAAACGGCTACCACCACTAGGTCTGGCAGGCTGGTGCAGTACTATGTAATGGCGGCTACCACCACTAGGTCTGGCAGGCTGGTGCAGTACTATGTAATGGCGGCTACCACCACTAGGTCTGGCAGGCTGGTGCAGTACTATGTAATGGCGGCTACCACCACTAGGTCTGGCAGGCTGGTGCAGTACTATGTAATGGCGGCTACCACCACTAGGTCTGGCAGGCTGGTGCAGTACTATGTAATGGCGGCTACCACCACTAGGTCTGGCAGGCTGGTGCAGTACTATGTAATGGCTGCTACCGCCACTAGGTCTGGCAGGCTGGTGCAGTACTATGTAATGGCTGCTACCACCACTAGGTTTGGCAGGCTGGTGCAGTACTATGTAATGGCTGCTACCACCACTAGGTCTGGCAGGCTGGTGCAGTACTATGTAATGGCTGCTACCACCACTAGGTCTGGCAGGCTGGTGCAGTACTATGTAATGGCTGCTACCACCACTAGGTCTGGCAGGCTGGTGCAGTACTATGTAATGGCTGCTACCACCACTAGGTCTGGCAGGCTGGTGCAGTACTATTTAATGGCTGGCTGGTAAATGAGAGCGAGACAGATGGTCTGTGAGATCGAGGACTCCATGCGTGAGGTGTGGAAAATGAGTCACACTTCCAACATCTGACCATTGTCATAGCGGTTAAGAGAAGTTATGACAATACACACAAATTCCCATCGGAGAGCTACACTTTCATGTATTATTACTGGCTGACGCTGTCCCAATAAAACACAACAGATTACAACACACGTATACGCACAGACATACACAGCAGACACACTCCAGAGGTGGCAAAAAGTACTTCAGTATATGGATACAGCAGGGTAGGTAGTGTGGTTATTACATTTCAGATCACCATTAACCTCTAACAGAAAATACAGACATGAGTTTGTTGCGTTGGTAGCTTACGTAACAAGCAAGATGATTCTGTAGAGAGAAGATGAATGTAGCCAACTATGAAATTGCTGCAATAAGTCAGGTTAAACCTTGTTAACCACCTAGAAAGAAGCTCCTTTGAGACAGATGAATCTGAACAGGGCATGATGACAGATGCTGGCTGTCTAGCACTCCAACTGAGGGATGTCTAACCAACTATACTGAATAATTAACCAAGTTTGTATGACAGAATCCTGTGAAAGTGTGACCATTTCAAAACTTGTCACAAATGCATTAGACTTCGTAGCTACTGTACCACACAATCAAAAAGGTGTCTGATATCCCAGTCAATAAAAACAAAGTGACTTCATGTTACATTATTTATTTAAGAAAGCATTTCAATCGATAATGTACAAAATCTAATAAAAAGGATGACAAAAAACAAATTAACATCGTTGGCAGATAAAATCCCATTGGCTGTTGAAATAACCACTACTGTATGAGGAAACAATGCAAAAAATACGTTTTTATAAGTAGGTCCAACTGCATCACATTTGATTACATAAAGAAAACATATGCCAAGATTCACTCTCCCTCTGCTTCCAACTCTTCAGTCATTTTATCATCACTAGCATCTTTAACATGCTGCTCTTTAACGTCATAGTTACTGACATCAACCCCAGTGTCATTATAATTAACACCATGATCGACATGAATATTATTATCATTATTGACTGGGAAATGGCTCAAGAGATTAACAGACTGCAGGTTCTGGCTCATCCCATCCCTCTCTCTGGATCCCCTCTTTGATTTTGTCATCAACTGCTTCAGTAGCAGCAATTAATGCATCGCCAATACAACAACCACCAGAATCGGTTTCAACATGGTTATTACCATCATTTGGGTTGTCTTCACCTTGGCAATCACCATGGAAACAATCAACTGGCATCTCATCATCCCCATTATCATCAGCACCATGGGCAACAACAATCTCTTTGACCATCTTATCAGCTTCCACATCATCGTCACCGTCTCCAATCTCCCCATCCTCAAGTTCCTCTGGTTCTCTCTTGGCTCTTTTCTTCTTGGGTGGGTCAGTCTCAGGAGAGCTCCCCAGGAGGGGTGGCCCCAGTTGGGGCTGTGAGACCTCTGTCCCCCCCTCCTCCCTCCGACCGTTACCCCGCCATGCCCCCTCCATCATGGGACTGCCATGGGCCGACACAGCCTCCGCTGAAATGAAAGGGCGGTGGGGGGCAATCGTTAATGGGATGTGGGAGTTGCCATGCTGCGTACACACACGCACACACTGCCCTACACCCTGCAGTCTCACCATGCTCAACACACACAAAAACACACTTCTACATTAGCACAGGCAGGGTCTGGCTAAGCTGACGGCATCATTTGGCTCAGCGGGACTTAGTCGAACGTGGTGGCGTGCCAGCCCATTAGTTATGCAATAAAGTAGGGCGGACGTATGTTGCAGGAGGGGGTGAGGAATCAGGGGGCGTAAAAGTGTTATATCAATGTGAAGAAATACTCCATCACCAAAAGCTCCTATTTCACTGTAATCATTTTCGGAAGATTGATTAGAACATTTGACAAGATTATTACCCATGCATGTGAACAGAATGAAACAACGAGGCTGGGTCTATGACTTGTCTCATTAGACAAAGTGTCTCTTATGAAACTGAGATGACTTGTGTGTTATACATTTTAGTCATTTAGCCATCTTATACAGAGCATCTTTTTATTTATTTTATCTTTATTTAACTAGGCAAGTCAGTTAAGAACAAATTCTTATTTACAATGACGGCCTACACCGGCCAAACCCGGACGACGCTGGGCCAATTGCGCGCCGCCCTATGGGACTCTCAATCACGGCCGGTTGTGATACAGCCTGGAATCGAACCAGGGGGTCTGTAGTGACGCCTCAAGCACTGAGATGCAGTGCCTTAGACCGCTGCGCCACTCGGGAGCCCATCTTACAATTAGTGTATTCATCTTAAGATAGCTGGGGGAGACAACCACATCAAAAAAAAAATTTTTTGTCACATACAACAGGTGTAGGTAGACCTTACCGTGAAATGCTTACTTACAAGCACTTAACCAACAATGCAGTTTTAAGAAAATAGAGCTAAGAAAATATTTACCAAATAAAGAAAAAAATACAATAGAAAATAACAATAACGAGGCTATATACAGGGGGTACCGGTACCGAGTCTATGTGCGGGGGCACCGGTTAGTACAGGTAATTTGTACATGTAGGTAGATAAAATGACTATGCATAGATAATAGACAGCGAGTAGCAGCAGTGTAAAAACAAAGGGGGGCGGGGGGGTGTCAATGTAAATAGTCCGGGTGGCCATTTGATTAATTGTTCAGCAGTCTTATGGCTTGGGGGTAGAAGCTGTTAAGGAGCCTTTTGGACCTAGACTCGGCGCTCCGGTACCGCTTGCCGTGCGGTAGCAGAGAGAACAGTCTATGACTTGGGTGACTGGAGTCTTTGACATCAAAGTCATAGTAAGTACATTTCCCCCCAATAAAGTAGTTCTCAGCAAAGTCAGTGCTAGTAGGAACATATACTTTTTTGAAGTGGGGCTTATCATAGGGCATGACCCAACCCAAAGGAACCATGACTGACCGTCATTCACTCACCACAGACGGGCAACTTTGATGGGGGTGGGGGAAACAAAAAAATCTGAACTCATGACGGGCCGCAGTTGCTGTTTTAAAGCTAATTTCCTGCAATTTTACACATTTTGCCATAGGGTGGTGAGAAATGTTTGCAGTTAATATGATATTTGAGTGAGACTAACTTAAATTAATGCACCCCCCGGGCTCTAATTCGATCTTGATTACTACAAGTTTAGATAGCTCCTCTGTAAATACGGTACACAGATGTTCAGCCACAGGGTCCGATGTGCTATCACCTCATGCAGGCCTCTCTCTGTGTTGTGGTGACTCAGTAGTAATGTTACTATAATTGACACTACAGAGTAACAGCTTGGCAACATGGCCTTATCAGAAACAGACAGCATACCACAGGGTCCGATTACCCTTCATCACTTCCTACAGGCTGTTCTCTCAATGTAGTGGAGACTATCTCAGTAGCAGTACAAGTAGAGTTACAGTGCAACAGCTTAGCAACACACTCAAGAGCTAAAATGACCTCAAGGATCCATCCGTTACTGAGGCCAAGTGTGGTGATTTGATTAGGCCTACCTACTGTTTGTTTTCGTTGCTGTCCCTGACATTGGCATCTCCAGGCATGTACTACCTCAACTTGGCGTCTGTGTATGACGTAGCCTCCTGTAAGACTTGTTTTGGATTATGAGATCAAGTAGGACGACCAACGTTCTGGCCACTCTCCCTTCCTGCCTTAACCCTAACCCCCATCCATAATTGTAACAGTTCCTACGTGAATCATATCGGATCCTCTTTCTGGGGTGTTGGAGTGTGTGCCATTACACAGAACACACGTTTCTTCTGGGGCAGCATGTTGTCATAAAGGGAGTCACCAGGAGACTGCAGGACATGATCTGACATTAAAGGAAAACCATCTTTGAAAACCTGATTGCTGACATGCAAAACATTTTCGGACTATATCAAACAAACTAACTGCTGACTAATGAAACAAACTAACTGGAGATGTCATGTTAATGTAAGGATGGACCAACTCATCACGTCAGAGTTCTGCTCCCTCTCTAACACCAGCCTTGGTGAGGTTGTTCTTAGCGAAATGTTACATTCAAACTTTCTAGAAGGGATAATGGATTGCCTACTTGCAGCCTACTTACTGTAGGTGTGGTTGGTGTGCTTGTTATTACCTGGTCCTTTCAGTGGGTAGTCATGGCAGCGGTCCTTGAGAACGATGTGTAGCGACGGGTACTCAATCACAAGTTTGAACTTCAGGTTTTCCTTCAAGGTCTTTGCCAAGTCCAGCTCTTGATACCTAAACAAAAAAAATAAACAAAACGTGTTACTACACTCCAACCACCAGAAGCTATAGCAGCCAGGTGAACAAAAATGGCCACTGTTCATTGTCGACATTCTCGCTCCTCCTCGGTTTTGACTAGATTGTCTACAGTTTTTGTCAAAATTGACTTTTCATAGCAGGTTAGGAGAACTTAAGCAGCAGGTTAGGATAATTAACGTAGCAGGTTTGGATAATTAGGTTAAGGTTAGGAAAAGGGCTAGGGTTAGCCAAAATAAAATAAAACATCCCATCTGCTGTAGTTGTAGAATCCTTCTATGACTTCATGGCTGAGGCTTGGTGGATCTTTGGAGGAGGAGGATTGATGGAGATAGGACTCATGGTTTGAGTAAAACTCCACAGTGCTGATTCCCATCCCTCCTCATGGAGAATGGAAACTACTGACTTTACCCGAGTCAACATGTCTCACCAAAACCGCTGCAGCCCTTGAAGCTCCTCGTGTTTCTCTCTCTTTTTGCGATTACATCAGTAGAGCCTGAGTAATCCTGTCGTGTTAGCATGATGATCTATCACTATCCCTAACGGATAACAGTCCTATGGAAGGACATGGTTTGCCTCCACGCTCAACCATTTCAAGCCCATCCTGCTTACAACCTAGACATGATATAGGCCTAACTCTAATATACACTACATGACCAAAGGTATGTGGACACCTGCTCGTCAAACATCTAATTCCTAAATCATGGGGATTAATATGGAGTTGGTCCCCCCTTTGCTGCTATAACAGCCTCCACTCTTCTAGGAAGGCTTTCCACTAGATGTTAGAACATTGCTGCGAGGACTTGCTTCCATTCAGCCACAAGAGCATTAGTGAGGTGGGCACTGATGTTGGGTGATTAGGCCTGGCTCGCAGTCGGCGTTCCAATTCATCCCAAAGGTGTTTCATAGGGTTGAGGTCAGGGCTCTGTGCAGGACAGTCAAGTTCTTCCACACCGATCTCGACAAACCATTTCTGTATGGACCTCGCTTTGTGCACGGGGGCATTGTCATGCTGAAACAGGAAAGGGCCTACACCAAACTGTTGCCACAAAGTTGGGAGCACAGAATCGTCTAGAATGTCATTGTAAGGCCATTCTACTACCAATGTTTGTTTATGGAGATTGCATGGCTGTGTGCTCGATTTTATACACCTGTCAGCAACGGGTGTGGCTGAAACAGCCGAATCCACTAATTTGAAGGGGTGTCCACATACTTTTGTATATATAGTGTACCCCCAAACCCTTCAATACTCCTGCAAGCAAAACAGACAGGGTAACATACGTAGAGAGCGAGAACGACGAGGAGGGAGCTGCAACTCATACTCCTGTCAGTTGGCAAATCTACAAACCCTCTCTCTGGTTAGAGAATCCAGACAGACATCCTCTGGGAAATATGTCTGTTGTGTGTTCTACATGTACATGCATGTGCCTCTAAGCGCTAACACCACCGGAAGAAAGAATACACCCACGGTTTACTGTTGGGTTCTGTAGAAGCTCCATGGGGGCTCCCATTATTTTCCACCAACAGCTACCTAACTATTTTTACTGAAGGATGAGTAGGTAGCTGCAGCATTTGGCCAGGGAGGATGAGAGAAGTGAGATGTGGTCAGGACCACAGCCAAATAACTGACGCTCGAGTGGCCGTTACCAGCCCGAGGGACTTTTGTCCGAGAGGAACTGAACTGTTCTCAGAATCTTCTTGATTCTGATGTTAAATTCTAGAACTTTCTGCGCAGATACAAAATAGAATGGGTCCTGAGCAGAGTGAGTCCACAGAGCTCTGATCAGGAGTTACTTCAGAGGGAATTCATTTGTTGTATTTTATAGAGGGTGTGTGGGGGCTCTAAACCAGAGAAAGGAGGTAGACATTGACAATACCGATATAGCTGTAAAATATCAGCCGATAATGTCTGTGAACAGATATATCGGTCGGGCTCTAACTTTCACAACAGTGTCTCTTATCTAACCTAAGGGGATCCAAACCACAACAGCCATCTTATGTAAGCTAGAGGAATATTGATACAGAATCAAAGAGCTTCAGTTCAGGTTATAAGTGAGGAGGCAGCAAACCACAGCTATGTGCAGATGACTGCTTTACCAGACTGTGGTTGGGTCCTTTAGTTAAGATTCTTAGAATCATTACCCAGCTGTATTAATAATAATAATAAGAAGAAGAAGAAACAAATATTTGCATTGCAGTACCAAGAGACTGAATACAAGCATGTGCTAAGCAAAGAGAAACACAAGGGGATCTTTAAGAGAGCTGAGCGAGGGGAGATAGACACGGTTTTAGGAAGGCTAAAGGCGTCAGCATGCTTCAGTTTGGCTGGCGCCTATCCGAACTCAGCTAGCTGAACAAGTGTTTGCATACTTCCTAAAAATACCTTTGCTTGAAATTCGAGAAAAAAAGCATCAATAGTACCGTTTGTCCATTGAGACACCATAACGAGTATACACTTCCTCAGAATAGTCCGAATTAATCTAAGATAACTCAAGAAATCTGTCATTCATTTTTACGTTTTTGCAGATAAGATCTTAGTTGCGCAATTTTACATCTAACTAAAACGTTTGGTGCAGTATTCTTCAATGAAAACAATTGCATGAAAACGAGTCGTCTCTCGTTGAATGACAACAAAGACTTTATTGAAGAATCCTTACTGTTGACCAATCACCGACGAAGGGGCGTAGACTCCAGTTCCGAACTTCTGCTTGCCTCCAGAAAAAATGTGTGCCCGAACAGCTGAAAAAACCCTCAAAGTCCAAAACCTCAACAAATGTCATCATAATACAGTGGCTTGCGAAAGTATTCACCCCCCCTTGGCATTTTTCCTATTTTGTTGCCTTACAACCTGGAATTAAAATGGATTTTTTTGGGGGGGTTTGTATCATTTGATTTACACAACATGCCTACCACTTTGAAGATGCAAAATATTTTTTTGTGTGAAACAAAACAAGAAATAATCCAAAATCCAGAAAACTTGAGCGTGCATAACTATTCATCCCCCCCAAAGTCAATACTTTGTAGAGCCACCTTTTGCAGCAATTACAGCTGCAAGTCTCTTGGGGTATGTCTCTATAAGCTTGGCACATCTAGCCACTGGGATTTTAGCCCATTCTTCAAGGCAAAACTGCTCCAGCTCCTTCAAGTTGAATGGGTTTCGCTGGTGTACAGCAATCTTTAAGTCATACCACAGATTCTCAATTGGATTGAGGTCTGGGCTTTGACTAAGCCATTCCAAGACATTAAAATGTTTCCCCTTAAACCACTCGAGTGTTGCTTTAGCAGTATGCTTAGGGTCATTGTCCTGCTGGAAGGTGAACCTCCGTCCCAGTCTCAAATCTCTGGAAGACTGAAACAGGTTTCCCTCAAGAATTTCCCTGTATTTAGCGCCATCCATCATTCCTTCAATTCTGACCAGTTTCCCAGTCCCTGCCGATGAAAAACATCCCCACAGCATGATACTGCCACCACCATGCTTCACTGTGGGTATGGTGTTCTCAGGGTGATGAGAGGTGTTGGGTTTGCGCCAGACATAGCATTTTCCTTCATGGCCAAAAAGCTCAATTTTAGTCTCATCTGACCAGAGTACCTTCTTCCATATGTTTGGGGAGTCTCCCACATGCCTTTTGGCGAACACCAAACGTGTTTGCTTATTTTTTTCTTTAAGCAATGGCTCTTTTCTGGCCCTCTTCCGTAAAGCCCAGCTCTGTGGAGTGTACGGCTTAAAGTGGTCCTATGGACAGATACTCCAATCTCTGCTGTGGAGCTTTGCAGCTCCTTCAGGGTTATCTTTGGACTCTTTGTTGCCTCTGATTAATGCCCTCCTTGCCTGGTCCATGAATTTTGGTGGGCGGCCCTCTCTTGGCAGGTTTGTTGTGGTGCCATATTCTTTCAATTATTTTTAATTTTTTTATAATGGATTTTAAATGGTGCTCCGTGGGATTCTCCACAACTTTGTCCCTAACCTGTTTGGAGAGCTCCTTGGTCGTGCCCCTTGCTTAGTGGTGTTGCAGACTCTGGGGCCTTTCAGAACAGGTGTATATATACACTGAGATCATGTGACAGATCATGAGACACTTACATTGCACACAGGTGGACTTTATTTAACTAATTATGTGACTTCTGAAGGTAATTGTTTGCACCAGATCTTATTTAGGGACTTCATAGCAAAGGGGGTGAATACATATGCACACACCACTTTTCTGTTATTTATTTTTGTGAATTCTTTGAAACAAGTAATTTTTTTCATTTCACTTCACCAATTTTGACTATTTTGTGTATGAAATCCAAATAAAAATCCATTTAAATTACAGGTTGGAATGCAACAAAATAGGAAAAATGCCAAGGGGGATGAATACTTTTGCAAGGCACTGTATATGCACGAACTCTACCGAACTGTTTTGGCTGGGAAGCATGCGTACGCCTTAAGGAGAGGGTTGATACATCACACCACAGATATGTGAGGAGAGAGTAGTCTTTGGGACAGCTAAAGGAACATTACAGCTGCCTGTGGTTTAGGGGGCTCAGACCATCTTCAGAGGAGAAAACAGATGATAAAGCTGTGATGCACACTTAACCCCGTCTTTTGCAGTGTGTGTGTGTTTGATATTTTAAACTAGGCAGCATTTCTCCTCGTCAGGCTGGCCAGCCCAGCTGCTCCATGGCCTTGGGTCTCTGCTCTACTCTGCAGCGAGTTGACTGATGGAAGGACATCCTCTGGATCCAAACGAGTGGAATGAATCAGAAATAAAATCAACATTTAAAAAAGGTATTAAATAAATAAACAAACATCCAGCCCGAGGGGTTAGGGCTCTTGACGCTCGGGCTGCTTCTCTTCAAGTAAGAGGATATTTACTGGTTACACAGCTATGTTCAGCACAGGAGCAGCCATTTATTTGATTCATACTTGATATTCCGGCAGACGTTTTGTAAGAAAGTCAACACAGGATCAGAATGACCTGTGGCCAACTTTGGACTGTACTGTTCTGTCCAAACCCGGCTCAGGTGACCTGCAGAAGGTAGCCAGTGCTCTATGAACACCAACTTAAAAAGTTGCACTCTACAACATGTACAGCACATGTCGATCTCATGGACCGCCATCCATTGCATGCATAGATTTTGTCCTTCACTCGAGGAGGCCCTTTCCTCAAAACAACAAGGGAGGTGGTCTGAATCCGACACAGCAACTTCAAGTGTACTACAGGTAAAACTAGCCATATTGTGCATCCAGTCCCAGAGAACAGAATTACTTCATAACATGTAATCACACAGTTCCATAGGAGGGATCTAGAATCCCCAGAAGATAACCATTGTTCTACCAAGAGGGAGGAGGCCCAGTCATGGTTGGGCTGCACGGACCCCCTTTTGGGAGCCCTTCAATAGGATGTGACCCCTGTTAGGAGCCCAGGGCCCCTCTCCTCATCACAGTTATGGCTTCTCCCTCACTGTGTGGTTCTTGTTCCCTCCACTATCATGCCCTGCTCTAGCCTTGGTCCTGTTATGGAACTGTACCTTGCTGATATTATGAGGTAATTCCACCTTGGACATGGGAGAATATGTCTGTCCTACTAAAATACCATAATGTTGATCATAAACACTTAGTAAAAGTAAAATACCACACGTAATGATAGGTCATTATAGAGCCCTGTATCAAGGACCATTAAGATGTGTGTGTGTGTGTGTGGGGGGGGGGGGGGGGGTGATGGTGATTAGCTAATAGGGAAAGTAAGAGTCACACCTCTGGTATTGTTCCCCTCCCTACTGTACTCTGCTGCGTCTCAGGGTGGGCTAGCCGCTAGGGTAATGCTACACATCTCATTAACACGCTCAGCACCTCGCTGACGCCTACCATAATGCTGACAGGAGCACATTTCAGAAGTTTGCAACACTTCTCCTACCCCAGCCCCCCCTTCACCACCCATCTCCCTCCCACATCTACCTGTGTGTGTGTATGTGTGTATGCGTGCGCGTATGTATGTATGTATGTATGTATGTGTGTGTATGCGTGCGCGTGTGTATGTATGTATGTATGTATGCATGTATGTATGCATGCATGCATGCGCGTGTGTGTCGTTAACAGGCAGTAGGTTGGTGAGACAGGACGTGGTGTTGATGGATGAATATCTCCATTAGTCATAGCAGGGGGTACGCAGGGTAGCAGGGGGTAGGCAGGGTAGCAGGGGGTAGGCGGTAGGCAGGGTAGCAGGGGGTAGGCAGGGTAGCAGGGGGTAGGCAGGGTAGCAGGGGGTACGCAGGGTAGCAGGGGGTAGGCGGTAGGCAGGGAGTAGGAAGGGAAGCAGGGGGTAGGCAGGGTAGCAGGGGGTACGCAGGGTAGCAGGGGGTATGCAGGGTAGCAGGGGGTAGGCGGTAGGCAGGGTAGCAGGGAGTAGGAAGGGAAGCAGGGGGTAGGCAGGGTAGCAGGGGGTAGGCAGGGTAGCAGGGGGTACGCAGGGTAGCAGGGGGTAGGCGGTAGGCAGGGAGTAGGAAGGGAAGCAGGGGGTAGGCAGGGTAGCAGGGGGTACGCAGGGTAGCAGGGGGTATGCAGGGTAGCAGGGGGTAGGCGGTAGGCAGGGTAGCAGGGAGTAGGAAGGGAAGCAGGGGGTAGGCAGGGTAGCAGGGGGTAGGCGGTAGGCAGGGTAGCAGGCGGTAGGCAGGGTAGCAGGGGGTAGGCAGGGTAGCAGGGGGTAGGCGGTAGGCAGGGTAGCAGGGGGTAGGCAGGGTAACTGCTATTTCCACATTCTGCTGCCAACCAGCTGTCCCCCCCCCTCTCATCTACACCCTGGTTGTGTCCCAAATGGTACCTTATTAGCTAAATAGTGCCTATAGGGCTCTGGTCAAAAGTAGTGCACTATGTAGGGAATAGGATGCCATTTAGGGCACACATCCTTTAAGGATTGAGGTTACATGACAACCCACAGCCCCACTGTTAATAGTGTGTCCTGACTGGACTAGTGGGCAACAAGGTCTCAAGGCTGAAGGAATCCATGCACACCAGCGAAACTATTCAAGGGTGAAACTTCATAGAAAATCCTGGGGTTTAAAATGCAGTTCTCACTACGCTTACATAACCTGATGGGGATCTGATGCACCTAGTCTGTGTATAGCGTGGGGAGTGTGTGTGTGGGACTTACTTTGTATCCAAAAGAACAGAGACAAAAGAGTCTGAGATGACTGTGACAAGAGGGGCCCCTGGGATACCAATCACTAACTAAGGACTAAAGCTTACTACACGCTCTACACAGACGCAAGACTCGGAGTGTTGCAATGTCTTCTCCGATCCTTGTAATACGCTCTGGCATTCGACATACTTTTTTACTACCTGAAAATTGAGACACGCTGTATGATTCCTTCCGCAGCCGTGGGGGCAGTGTTGTTGCTTGGTTCCTTGATCTGATCTATAGGCTATTCATCAAAGTATTGATAACCAAATAAAATCTCAGCAACTGTTCAAACAGTAAACCAAACAACAAGAATCCACCCAAAAAGGTATTTTGTTTAGAAGTAATAACTAGTGATTACAGGCTGTTGTGGAATGGTAGAACCTGCTGTGAAGGCAACTTTTCCTTGCCTTCACAAAATGAAAATACAAAAATAGAGAAAAGGTTACCATCGCACCCTTGTGAAAGTTACCAAAAGGTGTTGGCTACTCCCCCCAAAAATTGCAAGTGCATAGATCAACGTAGTGAAGCTTGTAGTAAGTAACCTAAACGACTATCTCAGGAGTGGTATGGGCCGGGGGAGACTCACTGTCATGTTGACGCTATTTGCGAAGAAGAACAAGTACCTCCACATTAGAAGGGTACGTAAGGGGGCTGGGCAGGTGGCTTGGTAGACTGAAGGTGTGGGGTCAGAGGGCACAGCAGGATATGAGTGTAGAGGATAAACTCTCTCTCTCTATGACTAAGTGGAAATGGATGGCAGCCAAGGACTGGGCGAGGCAAATGGGTGCCATCAACACCAGCTCCATCCCCTTCCCACACAAAGCATGTGTGTGTATCCAAATGATCAATGGAACTCCCAAAATGTGGAATCAACTGGAATTACAACACATACAGAATTAGGCCGGGGGAAGTGAAAATCTTCATCGCGCTTCCCTGCTCTATCTGCTTTCGCACTGCGTAGCTCAGCAGGAATTTACGAGGCGAGTGATGTCATGTTCATAAACCCATTAAGTCGATTTCATACATGCCGGATAAATCCATCATGAGTGGCGAGGCTGGCGGAATCAGAATGGTCACATGGACAGAATGCCTGAGTGCTGACAGGATTCTGACAACACTTTTGATGAGATTACAAATCTTTGTGTTTAATTTTATTAGAACTTTGGTTCCTGGAACAATTGGATGAGACACAATTAATGAATATAAATGGAATGGACAGTGCTGTTAATAGGATAACTGTGGTCCAATTTGGGCACATTTAACATCAGTTTACCAGACCCATATTAAGCTCACTTCTGGACAAAAAAGCACTTCAAATGGATATTCTCCTAGCTTTAGAGTCATTCGTACCTCACAGAGTTGGCTTTCCTGCCCTCAGCCTTCATGAAGACCCTGACGTGATCAAATGGGCTGTGGACGTACATCTTCAACCTGAAAGACATCAATGACAACAGGTTAGAGAAGGTATCAAAATAAGTAATACAAGGCTGTGGAGCATAGGGTTAGGATTTTGAAAAAGTGTACAAACTTGCACTTATTTTCTTAAGAGGGGTCAACGAGTGGTCACAGAAAACAAAGACTACAATGACTGAGGCTGTAATGATGTCTAGCTCCAGTCGAGCTGCTGCCTCTATCGCGCTCAGTCTGGCCCGTTGACAGAGAACAGACTGCTGTTTTCTGTCTAAGGAACGTAAGAGGGACTCTCTCAGCTACAGGTGACTAAGCCTCCTATATACACAGTCTACACTAGGAACCAATGAGGCCTGGCCAGTTAAACCCCCCCCCCCCCCCACTTGTGGCCAGACTAAGCAAAGGCCCCTAGCCTGCTTCACATGGCTGGAGCTGGAGGGTTAGAGGACAGACTGTAGATCAAACGAGGTGAGAAAGATAGGGTGAGAGAGGTTGAAACTGAAAGAGGGGAGGTGAGACAGTGGGGTCGAGACAGAGTAAGGGGAGAGAGTGGGGTTAAAAATAGTTTTTAGGAGGGAAAGATGGAGAGTTAGGGACAGAAAGAGAGGTGAGAGAAGTAGCATACTGTCCCTGTAGCTAGGGAGTACGTAAATGTTATTGTATTACTGCATTTCAAGCGTGTTCTTCCCAAGTCAATCACGTCCAAATAAAAAAAGGCCACTGGAGAATAACGACAGATGTTATATTTAGTCTACCAAAATGTAATTCTCACTTTCATTTGATTGCCTTTTTCTGGCAAGCCGGTAATCTAAAATGAAATCAAATTAAAAGGAAACATTGTGTTTAGTTTAGTATGTCATTCACCCGTCCCTTATGGAAAACATTCCCCCTGTGGAGATGAGTGTTAAAGCTCTCACATCATTCCTTGTTAAGTCACGTTACTGTGAGCCTAGACCAAGCAGTGTGTCATCCATCGTACCGGTCAGGCCAGAGAAGGAAGGCAACACACAGCTGGGAGGTGTCAAGGGCCAAGCATGACATAGTGGTCTACTCTGTATTCGATTTACAAAAAATTATCCAACCACCAAAAGATGAGATTGATGGCATTCTGCTTCTTTGAATAAACAAAAACATTTCTAGAGAATCCAAACAGTTCTAGAGAATCCAGACAGTTATGTGGAAGGAGCGATTTCACATAATTGGCACGGAGGGATTGCTTGCGATGCCAGACTTCGTAGTCTTGTTTCCAACCAACGTGAGGACGATTTGAGATCAAGTATTGCATGAAAGGGACGTCATTGTCCACAGCGAGTGTATCACTTTTAATGACATATAGCTCATTGCATAATTTACAATTTCACTCTCCATCATAATAATGTTAGCTTTCTCCCCCTGCTGATAGGCACATTCTAATTGAATAGAACTAGATACACAAAAGTATGTGGACACTCCTTCAATTAGTGGATTCAGCTATTTCAGCCACACTTGTTGCTGACAGGTGTATAAAAATCGAGCACACAGCCATGCAATCTCCATAGACAAACATTGGCAGTAGAATGGCCTTCCTAAAGTGCTCAGTGACTTCCAATGTGGCACCGTCACAGGATGCCACCTTTCCAACAAGTCAGTTCGTCAAATTCCTGCCCTGCTAGAGCTGCCCCGGTCAACTGTAAGTGCTGTTATTGTGAAGTGGAAATGTCTAGGAGCAACAATGGCTCGCCGTGAAGTGGTAGGCCACACAAGCTCATAGAACGGGACCGCCGAGTGCTAAAGCGCGTAAAAATAATCTGTGCTCGGTTGCAACACTCAATACTGAGTTGGCAGTCCGACGGACGAATCTGGATTTGGCGGATGCCAGGAGAACACTACCTGCCCGAATGCATAGTGCCAACTGTAAAGTTTGGTGGGGGAGGAATAATGGTCTGGGGCTGTTTTTCATGCTTCGGGCTAGGCCCCTTAGTTCTAGTGAAGTGAAATCTTAACGTTACAGCATTCAATGACATTCTAGACAATTATGTGCTTCCAACATTGTGGCAACAGTTTGCGGAAGGCCCTTTCCTGTTTCTGCATGACAATGTCCACGTGCACAAAGCGAGGTCCATTCAGAAATGGTTTGTCGAGATCGGTTTGGAAGAACTTGACTGGCCTGCAGAGACCTCAACCCCATTGAACACCTTTGGGATGAATTGGAACGCCGACTGCGAGCCATGCTAAATCGCCAAACATCAGTGCCCGACCTCACTAATGCTCTTGTGGCTGAATGGAAGCAAGTCCCCGCAGCAATGTTCCAACATCTAGTGGAAAGACTTCCCAGAAGAGTGGAGGCTGTTATAGCAGCAAAGAGGGGACCAACTCCATATTAATGGCCATGATTTTGGAATGAGAAGTTCGACGAGCATGTGTCCACATACGTTTGGTCATGTAGTGTATTTCATTTGGAAGACAAGAGAAAACGCTTTAAGCTGCACGCTCGCTGTACTGAGATACTACTGAGCTACTCACAGCTAAAAATAAGTCCTTGGGGTGTACCTACCAAATCCAATTTCATAGGGTTTTAGGACACAAAACCACAAGAAATGTACAGCAACATGAAATAAAATAACATTTTAATTCAGCATACTTCTCACGAAGAAAACCATCAAATATAAATGCAATTACACACGCTCAACGTTATGTATCCTGCAAGACAAATAGTCAAACGATAGTTTGGATTGGACTGGGGAACAGTAACAGAGGCTTAATGAATTCACCATGGGTGTTTAATCATTTCTTTTCAGGGTATTTCTATATTTGTCCTTGTAATACAGTATTGAGGCCGTGTCGTACAGGGCTCATTTATGGCAGACAGACTTGATTTAAAGCTGGTCTGACTGCAGTAGGAGACATAATCCCAAAACATTTGCATGTTATAGCAACTGTATAAATATTTACCGTGATACAGAGAGCCAAGGTTGTCCCCATTGATAATGAAGACAAAACTTTAAGAAAATGTGATGACTTGTCTTCAAGGACAAAATGTAGATACTGTAATACAATGATATTGCAGCTTTTGTGTGTCATACTGGCGATGTTTCAATTTCAGTCCGTTAGTGATCAGCAGTTAAATGTAATTCACTGAAATCTAAATAGCTTTGTTTGCACCACTCCTGTTGACTGTAGAACGTGAGAATGCAGTGTAACACACCGCATGTGGCGTCAAGTGGTCAGTCACCGTTTCTCTGCTCCCCACAGTAATGATATTAGTTGTGTTTACGTGTGTCTGTTGTAATGATATTCCTTTAGCCGTTTCAGGGGAAAACAGCTGGCGAGACAACAATGGAAAAAGTAGGTCATCCAAACTGCCCATCTAACTGGTGTTGATTTCAGACTCCATTACCACATTGTTAACTTTCTATTCCTGCTGTTGAGTAACTACACAGTGACAGAACCAAAACCACATTTCATTTCTATATCTTAAACCTCTAATGAAACACAGTTTGACCATTTTTATTTTTTGCATGTAGATTCCAGCTAGATTTGGGCCCTGGCTACAGCTCAGAGACATTGACATTCCTCTCTCTGGACCAGTCTCCATCTTGGTTTGCTCTGTTTCTAGCTTGCAGGACCACTTGATGGATCTTCAGCCATAGCCACCTAGTGAGGTCGTTAGGCAGGCTCTGTTTGGGAGGAAAGATGGAGCCAAACAAACTAGCCGGGCAATCAGGCATGGATACTACTAGCTATTCAGATACTCTCCAAGAGCAGTAGCTCAACCAGCAGCCAACCCTTTATTTGGATTGATTTGGAGATTTTGGTTTAATTTGATTAGTAGATTATATAAGAGTGGAGTGTTCTTACTTTTGACGTCTCACTGGCTCAGACTCTGTAGGGTGGATGTAGGGGGTGAGGATCTGTTCAAGTGTTTGGTCATCGGACACCCTGGGGAGAGATGGAGAGGAGAGCGAGAGGGTAAGAAAGAAAGGAGTGACAGAGTAAGAGAGACAAAAAGAGAGTGAACAACCAACCAAGTTCCAAGGAACCAACCATGAGTCAAACCGTGATCTTGATCAATGACTTGTTGGAGGGCTTACTATTTACATGTGGGTCTACATCACCAATCATCCTCAACATTAGAGGATAAATGGGTGCTGAGACAATCCTCTGGCAACACTACAGTCACTCTCCAGTGATCTGGATGCTCTCGGTTGCAGGTTACAACCCCCTGGACTCTGACATCAACTGGTATTAACAGTGCTCCTAAAGACTGTTCTGGCAGAGGTGCTACCCGACAAGTAAGTGTAACACGTGTACAAGCACGTAGGCATGCAGGGAGGTAAGCAGACAGGCAGGAACACACACCACTCACCTTCTCTCAGTGAACTCTGAACTGCTCTGAGGGAACAGGAGCTTCAGGTGCCATAGGAAACGATTCTCCCTAAAGGACAAAACAGAAAGAGAGCGAAATACAATAAATATAAAAATTGGACAAACAATTTCAATATCAGTTGGCAGTGGCACGGTCTTCTTGCAGTAACCAGTGCTTGGTCTCTCAGCTAAAACAATCTCTTTTGCATTCAAGAGACAGCGAGAGAAAGTCTTTAACCCCAATGTAAGACTGATGCTGTGTATGTGTCTAGCTGTGCGTGTGGATGAGTCCGAGTTGTCATGGGGATGACCATGACATACACTACATGACCAAAAGTATGTGGACACCTGCTCGTCGAAAATCTCATTCCAAAATCATGGGAATTAATATGGAGTTGGTCCCCCCTTTGCTGCTATAACAGCCTCCACTCTTCTGGGAAGGCTTTCCACTAGATGTTGGAACATTGCTGCGGGGGCTTGCTTCCATTCAGCCACAAAAGCATTAGTGAGGTCGGGGCACTGATGTTGGGTGATTAGGCCTGGTTCGCAGTCAGCATTCCAATGCATCCCAAAAGTGTTTGATGGGGTTGAGGTCAGGGCTCTGTGCAGGCCAGTCAAGTTCTTCCACACCGATTTCGACAAACCATTTCTGGACCTCGCTTTGTGCACAGAGGCATTGTCATGCTGAAACAGGAAAGGGCCTTCCCCAAACTGTTGCCACTAAGTGTGAAGCACAGAATCGTCTAGAATGTCATTGTATGCTGTAGCGGTAAGATTTGCCTTCACTGGAACTAAGGGGCTTAGCACAAACCATGAAAAACAGCCCCAGACCATTATTCCTCCTCCACCAAACTTTAAAGTTGGCACTATGCATTGGGGCAGGTAGCGTTCTTCTGGCATCTGCCAAACCCAGATTCGTCCATCGGACTGCCAGATGGCGTGATTCATTACTCCTGAGAATGCGTGCTTTACACCACTCCAGCCGACGCTTGGCATTGCGCATGGTGATCTTAGGCTTGTGAGTGGCTGCTCAGCCATGCAAACCCATTTCATGAAGCTCGCGTCAAACAGTTAGTGCTGACGTTGCTTCCAGAGACAGTTTGGAACTCGGTAGTGAGTGTTGCAACCGAGGACAGATGATTTTGACACGCTACGTGCGTCGGCGGTCCCGTTCTGTGAGCTTGCTCCTAGATGTTTCCACTTCACAATAACAGCACTTACAGTTGACCGGGGCAGCTCTAGCAGGGCAGACATTTAATGAACTGACTTGTTGGAAAGGTGGCATCCTATGACGGAGCCACGTTGAAAGTCACTGAGCTCTTAAGTAATTTGAAGGGGTGTCCACATACTTTTGTATATATAGTGTAGATGCTCAACACTACAACTCCAGGTGACGGATATTCCATAATGAGACCTGACCATAGAGAATGATACAGGACTTTAGGGCCCAAAAGCTCATTATAGCATGGGCACTTTCACCATGTTTGAGGACTTTCACCATTTTTAAGTAGTCAACTGGGTGGGTTAAGGAAGAATCACATGATTCCATCTGGGTCATCAGGAGGGATCAGCCAATTCATTATACTCATGAGCAAACATTCCATAACTACAGGTGGCAGTAAATCGCCAGCCTTGGCTTTATACTTGTTCAGACAACACACTACAGGTAACAGTATGTCCCCTTTCAGTTTGTTTGGCAACTCAGAAGTAGTAAAATAAGAAAATTGACTACTGTCATGAGATGGCGGAAGCAGGTGTGGATCTTGGAACTAATGGCGGTGAAAGCGAGGAAATTGGACTATGGTCCACAAGAATGGGAAACGGAGCAAAGTAGTGTTGGAAAACAAAACGTCTAGTTCTGTGAATGTCCCCTTCTATCTTGTAGGAGTGCAGTAAGTTGAGGGGCAGATTGAGTTGCCAAACCTGAGGAATCCATTTGAGCTATCCAAACTGGAGGAAAGAGTGATGGGTAAAGTAAATGCAGTGAGGATTACGAGAAGTGGACTTGTTTTGACTATGTACTTCTGAGGATTAGAAAGGGCTTGTGTTGCGTTGCACCTGATTCAAGAAGGTTGCCGTGTCGTGCGTGGCCCTTCGGAGCAGGGCACCCCTCAAGCGGGTAATATCTGCCGTTTCGTGGGATGTCGATGTGGTAGAAAAAAAAATATCCCTGGAGTGATTGATGCACGTCGGATGAATAGAGTGGTTAATGGAGAGTCCCTCCCTACACAGGTGAAGTTGGGTTATATGATTTACCATGTCAGAGCATTTGTCTCAAGATTGATGCAGTGTGATCGCTGTCTGTAGAAGAAAGAATCCAATCCAAGGTGTGATAGTTGTGGAGAAGATCATATTGAATGTGGTATGAGTATTGATCGTGTGAAATGTTGCAATTGTGGTGGGAACCATGTTGCTACATTTTTGGAATGCCCAACGATGGTGAAGGAGAATAAGGTGGGTAAAGTCAGGGCCAACTAGGACTTTGTAGTCTTCATGGCTATGGTGATCAACAGCACTGCCGAAGTGGAGAAAAAGTCCAGAAAGATGGACACCATTATGGATGCAGTAGAGCGGTTTCTGGGATTGGAGGAATTCTCAGTGAAGGAGTTACATGAAAGGCTGTTACGAGCCATACTAACATCTCAGGCCCAGAGCCTTTGACGGATGGAAGAAGTGAGAGTTAGTTTTTTGTTTTGGTCAACATACTATTTTTAAAATTGTGAGGAGTAAGTCATTTTTTCCCCATCAAGTATGGTTTTCTTTTTAATTTGAATCCAGAAGTGGGCGGCAATACAACTTTTTGGATGTAGTCCGCCATAAAACTCCACCGAAGAAGAAAATTGACTAATTCAAAATGGAGATGGCCTCAATGTAGCTGCCCATGCTCTCACAGACGCCATAATAGGACAGATACAATGACGCAATGTCTATCTAAGTCTATGGTCCCGACTCTCTAGGGTGCAAAACATTTAGCAACCCCACTAACAGAAAATAATCACTGTGGCTGTTGTCACTCAAGTCTGAAAACATGACGTCACATTGCATTTGGTATCTGGCTGCCTTCATTCAGTATATCATGAATTCCCCTGGTGGCCCATCACACCGTGGGCTCAACCAAACGACACACCGTGGGCTCAACCAAACGACACACCGTGGGCTCAACCAAACGACACACCGTGGGCTCAACCAAACGACACACCGTGGGCTCAACCAAACGACACACCGTGGGCTCAACCAAACGACACACCGTGGGCTCAACCAAACGACACACCGTGGGCTCAACCAAACGACACACCGTGGGCTCAACCAAACGACACACCGTGGGCTCAACCAAACGACACACCGTGGGCTCAACCAATCCCTGATTGGCAGATGAGTGACAACCCTGATTAGAAGCACCTGCTGCTCATCTGTTCTTTACAAATGCTGTTTTGAATTAAAATGGTACCTACACCCTGAACGTCTGTATGCTATCCCTGATGCAGTGAAAATAATACATTACATTGAATAATGAAGTAAGCTTTATGCAACATCTTTTTGAGTGCGGACCCATTACACCTTTTTGTTTGTCTCAACCAAACTACACACCGTGGGCTCAACCAAACTACAAAGACTCAGTCCTCCTTTGAGTCCTTTCATGTTGTCCAAAGGCAGGAGGATTAAAGAACTGTATCCCCCTTTATTAATAGGGTTGCATTTTCACCCCATTCCCTACATAGTGCACTACTTTTGACCAGAACGCGTTCTACACATTTAGAGTTGTAAGAGTGACCCTAGGCTCACTGTGACTGGTCTCTGGTACATGCCTGCTAGGCTACAGCTGAGCATCATTAGGGCTAGGACAGGACAGAACAGGCAGCGTCAAGTCTCCATCATTATCGTTACCATCCTCCTCCTCTTACAGCTGAGTATCGTTAGGGCTGGAACAGAACGGTACAGGGTGAATGTGGCATGCAGCGTCAAGTCTTCATGACTTCTTCTCCTCATCCTCCCCCTTCATCGTTAGGACAGGTGAGGGTGTACAGTATGTCTTCGTCATCATCATCATCAGTACCACCTTCCTCTTCCTACTCCTCACAGCTGAGCTCACTCCATCCCTCATTCCACCCCCCCCAAAAAAAAACTTTGGCCTTCTGGTTCTGCTTTGGTGGTGGCGGTGCTTCCATCCAGGTGGCAACGTTACAAAAGGGAGAGGGAGTCAGCACTGGAGACATGTTTTTTCCGGAAAACAGAGAGAAAGGAAGGAGGTGGGTATAGATGGAGGGTTGAAAAAATGAGAATTGTGTGCAGAACTGGCAAAACATCCAATGAAAATGTGCTTATGAATTTCCATTTGGATGTGGGCAGAAGGGGCGGGTGGGGGAGGTAAGGGGGCAGGCAGGCAGCAGTGGGGAGTTGGCTGGGCTGGGGAGGGTGTGAGGGGGGGCAGGCCAAGCAGGCAGTAGTGGGGGTTGGTTGGGGAGGGGATTCCCTATGCAGGTGTAGAGCTATTCCATCCCCCTCTAGGCTGCTGAGGAATGTTTGCTTGGGCTTGGCAGAGACTGGGCTTGGTGGAAGAGGGGGAATGGAGGGGGGTAAGTCAGAGGAGGAACACCAGGTGTTTGGGGATTGTTCTGCCTTGACGGCGAATGGAAACTATTTTATCTGCTGGAAAAAGGGATGGGCCGGGCTGTGTAGGCGCGTGCATGCACCTCAGGCTGGGTCAGGATTACATACCAGGAATATGTGGTATCATTCACTCACTGTCAGTGATAAAAGTGAAGAGATGGCACAGAGGAACACGACAAGCACTTTCCATACAGACAAAATGGGTAGATGGTGGGAGGATGACATGTCATGTTGAGTAAGACTAGCTTGTGTTTACATACTGCCTGACTGCACAGTGAGAGCATGGCATAGGTCTGTCAGCTTGTCTCCCCGTCTGTTGGCCTGTGTGTCCGTTTGCTTGTCTCCCCGTCTGTTGGCCTGTGTGTCTGTTTGCTTGTCTCCCCGTCTGTTGGCCTGTGTGTCTGTTTGCTTGTCTCCCCGTCTGTTGGCCTGTGTGTCTGTTTGCTTGTCTCCCCGTCTGT